CGATGACGCAACACTATATATATATATATGTATATGAAGATAAATAATATGTATTTCTAAAGTGAAAAGTGAATTTCTAATTGCCTTTTGTTATCAGTTTGTGGAAAAAGTTGTTTTCACTTTGCAAGCTGGGTGAATACAAATTTTCAACAACATAACATAAATGACTTTGGAAGTAATTGCAGTAAGAAGAAAAACAGGAAAGAAAGAAAAAATTACTAAAATAGGAGGCCTTCCCATCCTATAGATGAGAGGCTTCATTAAATGATTGTTTCTTGACATATATTGTCTATGGTTGACGTGATTCACATTTCCACTCCTCTCTTGGTTTCCTTTTAATTCCGACACATTCATAGTGAAACTATTCATTGATACAATCCTTAATGTCATATTGTATGATTCTTCCAAAGGAAGGCCCCTTACAAAAACAAAGTTTTACTATCCTGATTTACTCTTACTTCTGCAAATTCCAGTTGGGAGGACAGAAGCTCCTTGATGAAGTGATTGCTTATGAAATGTACCAACTTAGTTAGCATTTTGTAGTGAAAGAAAGTTTTTATACATTACTTTTATACATTTATACTTTAGTATTTTATTGGAAAAGCACAAAAAAATAGGACATAACATTACTAAAGGTCATTCTTAAATTCAAAGTAATCACAAAGCAGTTTTATGATAGTGACAAAACATTTTGTCTTTCCCAGATAGCCTTTAAATTTTTTTGGCATTGTCAAAACCAATATCAAAAGGTACTGCATATGTAAGGTCTTATTACCATCTAGTAGATACAGCTGGTCAAAGGTAAAAAAATGACAACATTGAAAGTTACTGCATATGCTAGTTCCTATTAGTATTCTATAGTAATTATGCATGTAAATTTCACTATTTAGCAGGCACAGCTGACCACAGATGTGACCTTCGGTTTGAAGTTTCAATGCTGTACAAGGTCAACATGGTAATAAATGGCAAATGTATTCCATATACTGTAAAATGAGATATTTTTTTGGTCTTTTTTATTTTGCAGATTTCGTGGTTTTTTAAAAGTTGCAAAATTAAAATGACCACAAACATTTCACTTTGTACAGCAAACAATGAAAAAAAAATCACTATAGTGGCAAAATTAAAACTGTGCAAAAACAGTTGAGGTCCAAAAACACGAAACAAAAAGGCCATAAATGTTTCTTGTTTTACAGTAAATGTCACCATTTAGCAGATACAGTTTATTACCTTGGGTTTGATCTTTCATGGTCATCCGAGGTCATGTTCAAAAGCATCATGTACAAAAACAACAACACTCTATACATGTGCCCAATACTATGTGTCAAACTGAGTGATGTCATCTCGCTACTCACATGACTGAGACTGAACAACGTGTAAAACTGTACCAAGGAAGTTATTAAATTATGTGTTGCAAAGTCAAACAAGAACTGTTTATTTTTGTTAAATGTAGTTGGTAACTAAATCATCTTGTTTGTTTTTTGAAAATAATTAATTTTGTTTGTTGTATTTAAGTAAACGTACACATTTATATACACATAAGAATTATATGACTGTCACTGATCCAACACAATACTAAATTTTTCCAAAAAAAATAATTGACCCACAATCAAAAAAGGTTGCTGACCACTAGTCTAGGGTTTACAATAATATCTTGCTGAAATCAGTGGTGTCATACTGCATGATTTTCCTCACAGTGGCATTAAAATTGGTAGTATGAAGAACATCATGCATAGTAGTAGATTTTATACAACCCTTGCAATGTCATTGCCAAACAGCTGAGTCAGCTTGAGCTGCTGTATCACAGCTTAAATTCAGAATTTGTTGTGCAGTTGGTTTTTTATCTTGTATGGCTTCTTTGATATTCACTTGTGGTGACTTTTCGTACAGCTTATATAGAACAGGAGGGAACTCATCTTTATCCTCAGAGGTGGTGTCAGTGTCACTTTCAGTTTTAAAATTTACACCACCTGTCGGGCACAAACTTTTGAGGGTGTGAAATGTAGTCTTCATCTCTCTTTCTGTGAAGGATTTTACATCTGGTTTTTTGCTTGTGATGATATTTACGGGTAGTGATGCCATGCTTGTGGTGTAAGATGTCAATTTCTTCTGCTGGTGTAGGAAAAACCTATAAAATGTTATATTCATATTATTAATAATAATATTAAATGAGAGTTACAAAGTTGTTTCTAGATTTTTATAAATAGTTGTGAAAATAATCAAGTCCATATTATTATTTTGGGGATGTAATTTATAAACATCTTGATTCTTTCATTCTCTTTTCCAACATTCACTGATTATTTCTAGTATGGTTTTATGTACTTTTATTAGTATGTGAATGTTGAAATAAAAGTCTGAATTGAGTTGGATGTCTCTTTTAAAAGTAGGCCTACATCATTTTCTGATTTTTGAATGAATGTTTACTTTTCCTTGTAGTACTTGTTCCACACAGTCCTTTTGCTGGTACATGCAGTTTGGTTCTCTTCAATAGTTCAACAGACATTTTTGCTGGAATGGTAAAAAGAATAGCAGCAATGTGGTTACACTATTCCCCCAAGTTGAAAATAAGTAGTTTAATTTTCACTGATCTATAAAACGAACTACTGAATTTATTAAGAAATCAAGATATAACACTAAGAAACTTTATAGGATTTCCTAAGGAGTAAGATACTTTTATGTGGAATACAGTGCATTGAGATCAAAATGTATATAGTGTATGCTCAACTCTTGCACATGTCATACAATTTTATTAGACTTGTGTTAGCTGGCAGTAACACCAAAAAAATAGAAAAACATTTCTTATGTACATAATCATTGATGTCTATTAAACATTAACTCTAAGAATAATGTTAATTTTTCAAAGATAGAAAATTTTTTTTTAAAGTAACAGAACTTACACTTTTTAAACCAATCTGTTCATGTATCCCTTCTTTTTTACATAATATATATGTACAGAATTACTTCTTTGTTATTTTCTGGAAAATAACAAAAACATCTTAATTATAAACAACCAAAAATAATGTTAGTATCAAACTTGATGTTAACATTTTATTTAAGCTAAAAATGTATTTTCCAATAGGTATTTACCTCCACTGCCCTCTAAGCATTTCCAAAAAATTTTTTGAGATCAGCACACCAGTATGTAACCCATCAATTTCGTGCCATTTCTGAACATGTGTATATTATGTGAATACTCTCTGCCAATGGTATTACACCATCTATACTGGCACAGATAGCTCCCTCTACTATTCCCCATCAATCCTCTTGCAGTGGGGAGGAAGGATTGGAAGTGTGAGGGAGGTAAGTACCTATTGGAAATACATTTTCAGTTGAAGTGAAATGTTAACTTCTGATAAGGTCTTACCTCATCTGTCTCACACAAAGCTAGAATCCCACATTACAAAAGTGGAGGGTCTAATCTAGGCACAAAAATCAAAACCAAGCTGAGACTGAATGAGTGTGCTCCTCACCCAGGAAGTAGGAAGTGAATCTGAAATGAGCAGAAAATGATATTACTTACACATGCTTAATATGTTCTGAGAATTGCAAGTTGTAGCAATATATAAACAAAATTAACGATGAACCTTCCCAACCATAACTAGACAAATGATATCCCAATAACTCATCCTTGGCACTGGGAGGATGAAAAAGAAATTGTAAACAGAGTGCTGTGCATCAAGCAACTGGAATTGCAAAGAAGAAGTGAACATTCAGTTGAAACTAGACAAACTTCCAAAACAACCTTAGGAGCAAGAAGTACAACAAACTGAACCCAGCATTACCGGGTCATGGCATTGCCTCAACTCAACCATAAAAACAGGATAATAGCTGTAAACAGTATTACAGGCAAACACATGACTCACTCAACCATAAATGCAGGGAACATGTCATCCTGCATTACAAGGAAGACATGGAACATTGGCCCCACCATAGGAACCGACCACAAATGTCCTGCTGGCAGTATTACAAGGCAAGGTCTCCCAAACTCAACTGTAGGAGCAGGGAAAGAGCCACCTGCAACCAGAATTAACAAGAAGAGAGGCATCTACTCTACATAACTGTTGGAACAGGGCATTGTCATGTTGAATTCAGCATTATAAAAAGGATCCCGTGTAAGCCAGACCAACTCTAACTGAGTGTCCACCTTGGAAAAAACATCCAGGGGAAAAGAAAGAAGGGAAACCAGCTTTGACCTCTTCTCACTGAGTGTATAATCATGAGAATGTATGGTAAGGTAAATATCTAAATTCACCGAGGAGAAAGCTTCCAGGGTATACCACCTCAACAAGTGGGAAGTGGTAACGATTCCTGTGTTCCACTGGAAGAAAAGGGGGGAAATGTGGTAGGGAGTCACACTGGAGAAAGTGCAATGGATGTCTACAATTCTCTATTCTGAAAAGCAGACCTACCCCAATTTATTTAATCCAAGGGAAGGGATGAGCAGAAATCCTTTTCTGCTTTACTCGTGAAGTTCATGAGTGATAGTCCACCACAGAGTGAAAAATATTGATGTCTAGTATACCACTGGGTAAGCAACCAGTGGTCTTGCTGAAGCACCCCATCTCTACAGTAAGCATTAAATTGCAAACAGTAAATAGTGTAGGTTTTAGGCAAAGCATACATGACCCACCGACATTTGACATAGAGTGAGATCCCTATAGCAATGGTTAAAATTAGGGTTACTGGAAAGAAAACATAAATGAAAGGAAGTGATAAAACTTATCCCAGTCAAAGGCAAATGGACAGGTGAAGAATTGTTACAGGAGGAAGATGATATCCATCAGAAGAAGATATAGCCAGATCGTACAGATAATGAGCAACACAGGTATTGGGAGTAGTCCACATTCCAGTCCAAACAATCTCTTCCAAAAGACAGTGAAGACGAGCAGCCAAGGACATAATGATGTGGAGATAGTGATGTTCCATGGATAAGTGTGAATATGCTGGCCTAACGAGTTGACTAACCCAACCAGTGAGAGTGACAGATCACAGGAAACAGAAGGGTTTCAGGAAATAAAAAAGTTGGGAACGTAAACCCAGAAAGGAGGCAGTAAGGCCACATAACACTGTTAGGAGTGAACTAGACAAAGAAGCCTATCTGGATTGAAATGTGAGTACAGGTGGGAAATGGAGGGTAATGAAATGGGTGTGAAAGCCAAACCACTTTCCTGGGCAGCATAGGTCTTAGGGAGGAAGGACCGGTCGAGAAAGAGGATGACATAATAGGAATGGTAAAGTATGTTAGAAACATCAATGGCATAAATATCTGAACAATGATGCCCACAAGCAAGAAGGGGGGGGGGTGAAATAGGGAGAGATGTTACAAAAAACATTTAGACAAATGTTCAAAAAGAGAACAAGGAAGGGCATAAAGAACCACATTGAGATCCCAATCAGACAAAACAAAGAAATGAGGAGGACACATGATTAGAAAGGAGAAGACAAAATCTGGAGAAACAGAAGGTGTTTGACAAGGCCACCCAACAACTAGACACAGTCGAAGTGAACTAGTCTTTGTCAAACAACCAGGTGAAGAACAGGAAAAGATGAGGAACAGAAGGCTTGGAATGACGGGAAACACATTGAAGAGACCAAAGGTAGAAGGTATACCATAGTCTGTGATAAATGGATATGTATAAATGTCTAATGGATTGGAAAAGGAAAGATGCAACATGTGGAGTCAGTCCCTAAGCTGAGACAATGGACCTGACAAAGCCATTTGTAAAGAAAAATTGTGGTGATATCTGGATGAACAATGTCTGACTGAGGTCAAAAGAATATGGACCAACACAGAGGTAAGGGTAGGGGAGGTTGTACAAGTAAAGGTTGGAGCAGCGGGAACAATGGTTGTTCCAGCCAAGACAGCCATCAGTAGGATGAAACATGGAGTGGTGTGGAATAAGGATGGAACTATAGAGAGAAGTTGAATAGGAGAACAAGCATAAATGTGAAGACCCCTCCAATCCTAACAGAATGCAACCACTCCCAGAGTTAGTGGGTGAGGAATGGGAAACCAAAGAGAAGAAGTTTTATGTTCCAGTGGGTGACAAAGGTATAAATGAGGTGTGCTTAAAGATATATGGATCAAGGAACCACTCCATGAGGAGAATATAGTTAGGGGGAGATAAGCGATGCACCATCAGATTCAGGGAGCCAGGAAAGTGGCAAGCTAAAACCACAATGTGGTTACTGTAGGCCCAGAAAGGAGATCTAGATAAGTGAACACTGTTGAGAAGTCAAAATGTACCATAACCACCATCACCCCCACCCCTGTAGGAGAGGACGGAAGTGGGATAAAGCTTAACAAACTGCCAAAGGCTCGAGAATGGTAATATGGAGAGAAGACTCCTTAATCGACCAGAGACCTGAAATTTCCCAGGAGTTGAGTTGAGAATCACAGCCCTCTAAAGATGAGTCAGTAGACAGATTTAAATCTGGACAAAGAGGAGTAAATGGCACCCCCACTATGGTCTGGTCTCTATCTAACCACAAAGGAAGGCTGCTTCCCCTAAGGGATAGAACATCTCGAGTAGTAACAAAAGTGAGGTGAGGGATGAGTGAACTGTTTGCTCCAAACTAGAAGAGGAAAATGTTGGGCCTGATTGAGGTTGGAAAGAAGAAAAAAACAAATGAGGGGAGGTAAGATCAGACTTCCCCACTGTCATCAGTGGGTGGTGATGACTAGTTGCCTTCCCTCTTGTCTTTTGCTGCTATATTAGGGATGGCTAGTGCAGATGGCCCTCGTGTAGCTTTCGCAAAATCCAAACCTCTGGACAGAGTATCTGACAAACACACAGTTCAAGTTAAGATCTTTGGGCAAGGCTTCTGGTTTGTTGTCAAGGTTAGCTGTAACATCCCTTTTCACTGTGTGGTCTTCTTCACTATCATCAACAATGTGATCATCATATTCATCAGCATTTACACCTTTGAAGTGGTGGTTTTTGGGAGGAGAAATTGCATGGTGCTGCACATTGATGATAAATTGTGCAACCACAGTGACTAACCATTATTGCAGCTAAAATTCCAGCGATATGAATCTGCTTTCTTATTTTATTTTAATCATATACCAGATGTTTGGTGAATAAAAAAAGAATTATCCAAAACCTAAAACATAGGTTATGAGTTACTTTTTCTTACTATATTATAAATTTTAAAAGTCAAATAGCTAAATATTTTTCATGACAAAAATCGATGAAATTAAGATCTAAACCCTAATTTTGAGAAATAAAATACTGTCTATTAGTACTAGTATAATTAGTAGGACTATTGCACTACGATATATGTACTATTTTATTGTTACGACAGCGGGGATTACGTGACTCTAGTAACACGTCATATTCTCGAACGTTCATGAAGTCTCGAGAGGTTACTAGATATACGGTATTCTTGTATATTGTTGCATCAGCGAGTCACGTGACCACTGTGGCGCCCTCTAGTTTCTAGAACTATCTTGTTCTTTCGGGAATGCTCTAGTAATTGCTCGATGTAGGGTGGGCTGGTATATATAAAGGAGGGGAATGTGAGGTGGGTAGATAAGATAGTGAGTAATTGATCTGCGGTCGGAGTATTATTGACGTTCGTTGCTATAGCGTTTGTTTAGCGCGATTGTTGAGTGTATCGGTTAAGTTATATTCGGAAAGAATAAACCAGTTTTATTAAGTAAAGGCTTGTGTCGCTTAAGTTTCGTCGGTACGAAGTTACGGAAAATCAAGTTAATTAAAAAACGGAGACGTAACAAAGTATTGTTTTTTCATCGCATTACCATAAACTGCTAAAGGGGTATAAAAAGTAGTTAAGAAATTACTACCAATGTTATCAACTAAGTAACAGAAAAATAGTTCTTAAACATGAGTTTTTAATTCATTTATTTTTGAAGTACTCGTAAAACTGATTAGCCTAGAAGTCCGATAAATGAATATTTTCACAAGGTTTTCTTTAAACTTTGAAAATTATTGTTTATTACAAGCTGATATTTTGTGAATTATTTTTCAGTTGTGATGACGTCATTTCATTAAAACATTTTATTCGTTTATAGGGCTTATTAATTGATTAACAATAAAATTCATGAATAAATGCGTGATTTAAGAATATATTTAGTCATAATTTAATCTGTTTGTTTGTTATTAAGCGTAAAGCTATAAAATAAATTATCTGTGCTGTCATCATGGAGATTGAAGCCCAATTTTTAGCGTTATAAGCCCACAGATTTACAGCTGAACTAATGAGGGGCTATAATGTAGCCGATAAACTTGTCATTGAATGTTTAGCTACTACTTCCACCCTTCAGAAGCCTCTTTTAATGTGTTAAAAAATTTTCATATTACATAACTATTCACTCATTTGTATGGAGTTATGGAAGAAGTTGAAAGAAAAACAACAACAAACAAAAATTTCCACAGCTTTAATTAATGTGTGAATTTCAACCATTTTTGAAACTTCAAAGATATG